CCGTCATTGCGCTCTTGCCTTTTCTGTAGCGATGAAACTCTAGGACGAATGGTGCGGAGACAAAAATCAAAAGATACGATTAATATCCTGTACGTTTAGATCTTTTTGGGCAATAAGGGAGTGGGACATGAGGGGATGATTGGATTGTCAGCCTATCCTTCGAAAATAAGAAGGTACCGTCCAATTAATCTTTCATAGCGCAGCTTCTCCGTTACCATTATGCAGCCAGAAATATGATTTCCTTTGTTTCACTACCTTTACCTAAATTCTATGTCTGAGCAAATCGGGCAAGCTCTCTTTGAGCTTTTCGCATTTGAGCCACATCCAGATCGACCAAAGCCAAGCCGCCGTAAGAGCATGTAACTACCTTAGGTACTACGTACCTATTGACGATATTGGGTTCATCAGGATCTCGGGTCCTTACCACTATTGTCCAACTATACCCCAGACTAACTGAACGGGAACTCTATGTATGGATATGGGAGGTATATGATGTTGCTCATTCATAAAGGCAAGGTAAGCCACTTGGACGAATGATATTGATAACTGTACCTCAGTTTGAGCCTCAAGTCTCAACAGCGATACATGAAATATATTCTTTTCTTTTGGCCCATAGGTATATCCTTCAATTTGGCCTGGTCTCCTGTTCCCTCTTTGCCGTGGGCCGAATGCGGCGTCTGCTTTATCGATAAGCGAGCAATCTTTTCCGTCCCCAAAATTTGTCGATGCCCCTCCTCCGTAGTTTGATCTCCGCAAAATAGCGACTAGTTCTCGCCTGTCTCCAGACTATATCACAGTAATCGCGCAGATGGCTACTCACACGGACTCAGTGCACCCACCTTGCAAGGTTGTGCTCTCTAAGAACGTTGCAAATAGTCTCGTTGCGGAGGTCCAGGAAGGTGTCAAGACCCTGGAGAAGCCGCCTCATCTTGTTGGATTCCTGGCCAACGATGATCCTGCGGCATTGATGTATGCTCAGTGGACTGAGAAGACATGTCAAGAAAAGTGAGCGTCCACCCATTCCTGCATTTCTATGTGCCAATTGCGCCGTTTTGTCTCTTTTGTCCCCTACGCCATCAATTGCGATCTCGGAGCGTGGCATATGCATCGTTCTGAGTCACCTTATCGTAGCTAACGTAGAATTTCCTTGATACAGTGGATTCCGTTACTCTTTGCGCCAAGTGCACCGCGACGATATTGAAGACGCAATTCTGGCTGCCAATGCCGACACAGACGTTGACGGCATCATCGTATACTACCCCATTTTCAATAATCGCCAAGACCAGTATCTGCAGCAGATCGTCGACGTATCCAAAGATGTAGAAGGTCTCAGTCATCGTTACATCTTCAACATGTACCAGAATATCCGTTTCCTTGACCCTGAAACCAAGCGGCAGAAGTGCCTTCTTCCTTGCACCCCTTTGGCCATCATCAAGATCCTCGAGTACCTCAACATTTACAACACGATCCTACCGTACGGAAACCGGCTATTTGGGCACACTATCTGCGTGGTGAATCGCTCAGAGGTTGTTGGCCGGCCTCTTGCAGCTCTGTTGGCGAATGACGGAGCTTGTGTCTACAGCGTGGACATCACCGGCGTCCAGAAGTTCACTCGTCAGGGTCTCAAAAAGAGTAGGCACGACGTCGTGGACTTGGAAGGAAAGACAATCAAGGATGTAGCCCCTCTGTGCGATGTTGTCATCACAGGTGTTCCCAGCGGATCGTACAAGTTCGACACAAGCCTCCTCAGAGAAGGCGCCGTCTGTGTCAACTTTTCTAGCGAGAAGGTAAGCTTTCGATATTGTCTAAATGTCAACCGGGATTCAGGGAAGTTAATGTGTCGCACAGAACTTCGGCCCGGAAGTAAAAGAGAAGGCATCCATCTTCGTTCCGTCGATCGGCAAGGTGACTATCGTGGTTCTGCTCCGGAACCTCTTGGTGAGTGACATCCGGCCAAGCGTATTGATGGATAATTAGATTGACAGTTCGTTGCAGAGATTGATTCAGAACCGGAGATTGGATGACGTGAAACCAGCTGAAGCCACCGAGCGTCCTGGAACTCTAGAGGCCGCTTCGTAATTAAATTCAACAAAATGCAACATGCAACGGGAGACGACAACTTACAAAGTCATATGACAATCATAGATTTCCTTTCTTGTGTTCTGTTTCAATTCTGTTCCTCAAAGAGACTCGACACTTGTTTTCTCGTGTATATGACCTGTAATATGAGCCTGTTCTATGAAAAGGTCTTCAAGTCTTTGAAACATATTGAGGTGACTTGCTCTCACAAATTGTCTGCTTGTCCTAGGATTTGCATAGAAAAGTACTCAAGAGTATGAACTGGGATAGTGTCCAAATAGACGTCATAGAATCTTTCGTGCGCAAGGCAATTATTCAATTCGAGCTGGATGGCATTTGACATTGTCGACGATCCCAGCTAGAAACAGTTCAAATTCATTGGATCTGAGTCACATTCTCAAGCAAGAAAGCCTTGTCATCTACTTCTTGTTATTGGTATTCTGCACTCCTACAACACTTCCAAGCCCGCCGGTTTTCCTCTCAGTTTCCTTAGCCGCAAGTCGTAGCACCTCAATCTCGGCGGCAAGCCAGCGTCGGAGGGGTTCGGGGTGGAAAGTCCCGTCTGCGGAAAACCAGTTCATAAATGGGGCTTCAATCTCCTTTTCTTGGAGAATCTTGTTGGAGGGCGACGTGTACTGTACCCGGAGCTTGTAGAGAGGGGTGTGTTTCTTCACAGAGGACCGAATTGAGAGCTGGTTGGAGAAACAGTGAGCTTGGTTTGTGACTACAGAAAAAGACGCTGTAGACTATACCGTTTCACCCGACTTTCGCTTGCCTCGAAAGACCTCGCCACCTTCCACAGCCCATATCCAGTAGGTGAGGCCGGTGTTCAGGATAAAGTATGAACACACTGCCGCTATAACCCACGGCGAGGTAGTTGCTTCCCATCCAAGTTTGCGATCAGCATAGAAAGTGAACGCAGCAATGGCGACCGCGCTGTAGCCAAGGAGGAATCGGACATTGGATTTAGAGTGGTCTTGTTTGAAGGTATACGGTTGAGGAAGGGTACACAAGTACGGGACAAGAGCATCATCTGTGGTCGATTTTAAATCTAAATATGATCGTTAGTGACGGTTATCAAGAGTTGCGCATACCATGTCCTGTATGAGGAACCAAAATAAAGCTCGATGTAGCTGTTTGGAGTATACAGGACTAACCGTTAACAGAGTAAACAGGCACCTTCGGCGCCGAGGAGGTTGCCATTGTGAGCTATAGATTTCGTTTAAAATCAATTTGAAATATGATAAAGCACCGCCAGAAGCCACGGGGCAGTTCAGATGCTTTGTAGTTTCGGGCGTGAGAAATCAAGCAGTGATGTTTATCTGGCAGCGAGGAGTTGCGGCGAGCTGGCCCTTTCGCGGAGAGCTGAGCTAAAGCGGCATGCGTGCCAGCGCTAGTACACCCGCTTTGTCTGACCTCGCGGGGACTGGACTGCCGCATCATCACTGCCGACTTTCTTTAAATCCTCCATTCTCTTTGAACTCAGTGGCCAAACGTCTGCTCAACACGTCTCTGGGTCACAATGGCTTTACAAGGGGTCGAGCAGACGATCCTACGGGATCCGGCTCTGTTGTGAGTGGTATCCTCGTTGATATGTCGTGGACGAAGAACTGACGTACATTGTCAAAGCTATTGGATCCTGTTCCCCATCACCATTGTCATGGTAGGTCCTGTCGACTACATAGTCTTGTCGCACTGGCTGATACTGATCCTCTATTAAGATATTGACAGGTATTCTTCGCCACTATGCGACAGTTCTGATGAACACCCCCCCAAAACCTCCGGCGACACTTGCCGAATCTAAAGAGCGTCTTTCGCTTCTGCGAGGAGTCAACCTGCGTAACAATGCTCCCGCAGTGCTATCGCGGGAAGGATTCGAGATGCGAAAGAACTATCTGATCTCCGCATACAAAAGCGGTGCCTTCCTTAAAGACCCTTCCAGCCGCGGTCAGCCACCTGCGAATCCGATGACTGATCCTGCGGGCATGGAGGCCATGATGGGGATGATGAAAGGGAATATGATGATGATGATCCCACAGACCTTGATCATGAGCTGGATCAATGCATTCTTTTCTGGATTTGTTATTCGTATGTTACCTTTTTTGCAACGGAGTTGAGCTCGCCTGTGCGCTAACAGAGTCGGCACAGTGAAACTGCCCTTCCCGCTCACGATCCGATTCAAATCAATGCTCCAATCTGGTGTCATGACCCGTGACCTGGATGTCAGATGGGTGTCTAGTCTTTCGTGGTATTTCTTGAATCTGTTCGGCCTTCAGTCAGTCTTTGGCTTCATCCTCGGCAGCGATAACGGTGAGTGACGTCCCCATCTTGCTTTTCACTTTACTATACTTCCTGTTACTTTCCCTCAAACGAACACATGCTGACTCTCCTGATGGTGCAGCTGCCAATCACATGGCTCAACAAATGGCAACTATGAACCCTGGCGCAGCAGTCAATCCGTTCCAACCTGGCCAGGATCCAGACAAACTGTACCAGAGTGAAGCGGAGAACTTGGAAGTGACGGAGTTCTTTAGTATTCTGGACGGTATCGAAGAGAGAGTCCTACATAACTATGCTTCAAAGGAGATACGCTGATTGGTGCTGGGTGTGCGAAAACAGCTATCCATTATACTGTTTTATATCCATATAGAGAAGAGTCAAACAGAAAGGGTCGTTTAATTCTCCACACAACCTAATGACATTGTGTTGGCTATCTGATTCCCTGGCAATTATTCATAACAGACAATGAGAAAATGAGCACTTCAGGGGACCGTTGGACATAAAAAGTCTTTTGCGCATAAACACCTGAACGTAGATTATGGTATATGAGAGTCATTCAGTCATAATTCATCCATCCCTCCAGATATACATCAAGGGTTTCGTGTGGTAACTCCAATAATGCAGTATACCGCAAACAGGAATCAACGGTAGTTGATGACACCGCTCAAAATCCAAAGCTCACCGTTTGTCACTGTCTCAGCGATATTGTCCACCTCAACATTACTCGGTTGGATCTAAGCAGCGTCAGTAGAGATGCACTATAGCTGATGTGCGAAGAAATACACACATATATCTTATCGCCATTTTTAGTCCACTTCAGTTTCTCTCCTCCAAGCGTCTCCACCTCTTCACCCTCCCTCCACGGACTTGTTGGAATGATATGAGCTTCCACGAAACGTTGTAAATTCTGCTTCGCTCTATCTTCACCTTCCTGTCCTTCATATGCGCTCACCCCACCAAACTTCTCGTAGTCTTCTGGGTTCTCCCAGGGCTTGCGAGGCAAGCTCTGAATAGCACTATTCCGAGGAGCTAGGACAGTAACATTTTTGGACGAATCGTTCAGGCGTGATTCAATAGGCTCAAACTGCCGGGTGAGAGAAGCAAATATATTGATGGCACGGTTCTTGGGAAGAACATCAGCGACAACAGGCTTCCCACTGTCGTCTCCCGTCGACGAAGAAGAGAACATCTTGTCCATTACCGGCTGCTGGTTGGAAAGCCAATTTCTTAGTTCAGTATCGTCCTGCTGGCCTTGTCCGTGCCGTGAGTGAAGGACGTTTACAAGTGGACGTGGGAGACGCTTGCGCAGACTGAACCTCGGTAGAGTCAGATTTGCAATTACTGAGCCGATGAAGCAAAATGCAATGACAGATAACAGTAAGAGTGTCCGCCGCATCTTGACGATAACTGCTGTCTCGGTTTAGACGTAGCACGATAGATATGACACAGCATGCCTGCGAGTCCAAGTCAGTGGCCCATGACGCAACCAATGCCACTGCCACTCCTTCCTTTTGTGGAAGGGACGAACACGTGATGCGGAGTTCAATGCACGTGACGTCTATCGATAAGGGCAGTTGTTCAGTCAACCACAAAAAGCGTCATGTCCCGATTGCGGAGGAGGGGAATTTGTCTGCCCCTCATTCTGGTTTCGGGTGCCAATCGATTGACACAATGTCGGCTCTGCAGACGTTTATGTTGGTTGTAGACCACGATAAAGCGGAAGCTAAGCAGATTGCTGAGCGGGTTGCTCAAGGTATTGTTTCCCCGCGGTCCCAGATCAATATACTTGAATACTAATGGATTGCTCTTAGATGTGGAGAATAAAAGGACGACACTTATTGATGTTGTACAGTCACTCAGCGAATATATCAACGACGAAGATCCTATTTTGCGAGGCAAAGCTGTCTCGTACCTCACTGCCGTGATCAGAGCACTTCCTCCGAAGTATCTATCAAGACAACAGATCCAGGTTCTCACAACGTTCTTCTGTGACCGCATTGAAGATGGAGGGGCTGTCGCTGGGCTGGATACACTACAGAAATTGGATCGCTTCAACCATGCGTTAGCCGAGGAAGTAGCACAGGCGTAAGTGCTTCGCGGAGACTTGACGTATAGACMATACATCGCCCGACCTTTTAAGCATTCCCAATGTAGTGGTCCATGTGAAAAAGCAACTGACTATTCTCCAGTATCTTTGAGCGTCTACAAGACTTACAGTCTCGGTCACAATCGCAAAGGTTTCAGGTATACCAACTATTGAATGAATTGATGTCGAATCATCGGGCCGGTACGCATTGCAGCACTTGAACTTCAATGATATTGCCCATACTGAGTTATACAGCTCTTCACAAGATGGGGGATACATCTCTTGTCGGAATCATTGATCTCATGACCGGAGAGAAAGATCCCCGGAATCTCATGCTCGTCTTCTCTATCTTAAAAGTGGTCATGATTGAATGGGATATCTCAAACCATGCTGAGGTATGCCATTCATCTCTGCCAATTCCTAGTTCGACAGCTAATGTCCGAAGACTCTTTTTGAATCCGTTTATAATTACTTCCCGATTACCTTCAGACCTCCTCCAAACGATCCATACGGGATTACCGCGCAAGACCTGAAGGATCGTCTACAGGACTGTATCTCCGCAACTAGTCTTTTCGCTCCCTACGCTATTCCCGCCCTTCTTGATAAACTGGATTCCACTTCACCAAATGTCAAGGTATGCTTTTTCACAACCTTATAAGCGCTTTCTATCTAGGATCAGACTAAGAAGCCTCTAGAAAGATGCTCTTAACGCGTTAATCGCCTGCATCAGATCGTACGACCCAGATACTGCGTCTAAATATTCCATCCAGATATGGGACGTTTTGAAATTTGAGATCCTCAATGCACAAGAGGAATTTCTCTCAGAGCTTTCCCTTCAGGCTCTGAACTGCATTGCTAAGCGGTTATCCGAGGGCATTGCAGCTGTATCCGAACAGTCACCGCTTGCACAGTTTCTGCGGCCAATCACGAAAGAATGCAATGAGCAACTGCGAGAACCCCAGCAAAAGCAGGCCAAGCCTGCGCAACAGATCCTGAACTCAACGTCATCTGCTTCTATAGCCTCGTTCACCGTGGTTGTGCAGACTGTTGTCGCGCCGCTGTTGACGGTTTATCAGGAGGCCGATGGGCTTGCCAAGCAGAGAGCGCTACTGGAAACCCTTGGGGTTCTCTTTGATTCAGCCATCAAAGTTTTTGGGAAATGGAACTCACATGAGCCTGAACCCGCCGCCGAAAACGCTCTGGTTGAATTCAAAGATCAGTTCTCAGATGTCTTTGGTCAAGCATTGATGGGGGCAGCGAAGGAAGAAGTCTCCTTCCGAGTAACCGCTCTTGAAGGGTTCCTGCGTCTTTCCATCCTCAGAGATTACTTCCAAGACAACGAGATCGGCTTGTTTGTGCAATACTTGGATGAAATTCTGTTGAAAGAGGAATCTGCGGGGCGAGGGGACTTGAAGAAGAAAGCCATCGAAGCTTTGGCTGAAATATCAAAACATAAGCCACGATTGATCATGGATATAACATTCCCTGCTTTTGTGGCAACCCTGCCCGACTCTGACGAAGGACCAAACACGGACTATATAACGACGCTCGAGAACCTCGCGCAGATCAGTGTTGAAAAGGATATTTTCGAAACATTAGTTCGACGTCTGCTCAGCAAACTGACCATATTGCTTCAAAAGGAACGCGCTGGGTCCATAGCATATCCCCGCGCAATTCTCATGACCATTCTGTATGTGATGAAACAGAGAAATCTGGATAAAGATCCAGACCTGGAACTCTACTATGACAAGATCGTAATAGGCCTCTGCCGTGGCGTTGCAGACTCGGCCACAGGAAAGTCTACGAATCGGATCTTGAATGACGCAGTTGTCATTGATATTCTTGGAAGACTTTGCAACGTCATTGTCAGGTGTCTGTCGAAGCAAAAACAAGATGAAGTTGCGCAGAACGTGTACACTCTGTTTGCTAGCTCGAGTACCTTTACGCCGGTGCCATTTTCGCAAGCAGCAAATGAGGATCAACAGCGCACGATGATTATCTCAACATATCTTCTCGCAGGGCTTCCAGCAGACTGTGTACACTTCCCGTATACCGGCCGTGACTTGTCACCCCTTCTTTCGGACCTTGTGACTCGTTCTCTGACAGAGAGCGAGCCATCAACCCATCTCGCTTTTCTTCGTCATTCTGCTTTGCTTGTCAACAAATTCCTTTCGAAATCCGAACTTAGCATCGCTACAGAAATACTGAGCAACCTGTTCTCCGCTGGTGCCGAGGAGAAAAAGCTAACCCCGGGAACAATCAAGACGATATTTTGGCTCTCGAAGGCTCTCATCCTACGCCTTGCGCCAACGACCACAGAAATACTGACCTCTCTTTTGTCACTACTTTCGTCACCCGATGAGATGACAAGTACCACTGCTGCTCGCGGCTTCGCCATCCTCCTTAAGGACGATGAAGTCCTTTCAGCTGACAACGGTGCAAACATCAGACTTCTAGCGAAACAGCGTGTCTTCACGACATTGACTCCCCTTATTTCAAATTGCATTCGCGAGGTCAACGTGGCAGGCGATGACTCGTCTACACCCGCACATATAAAGCCAGCACATCTCACTGCCTTATCAGGAATACTCTCCACTATTTCGCCCTCATTGGTAATGCCGGAGCTCCCGACATTGCTTCCTCTTCTCCTGCAAAGCTTGGATCTGCAAACCGCAGACTCACAGGCTGTCCGAGCTGCAACGCTCGAGACTCTCGCCGTAATCATCCGCGAAAACGGCGTCGGCGTTATCGAGGAATGCGGCCATGTTCAAAGCTTGGTCACTCGGCTTCTGAAGACAGCTGCATACAACCCTGCGCCTACTGGGTTGGATCAGCAGGCTGCTGTTTCCGGCCCTGTTAACGGACCGCGACTACGCGTCGAAGCACTCAGATGTCTGAACTTATTGGCTCAGGCCCCGAAGACAGACGCCCCAGCTGTTGCGAAAGCCGGTAAACTCTCCCCGCTTCTGCCAGTGAAGAATCACGTAGTGCGTTCTCTGCGTATGATTTTAGATGATCCAAAAAGGGATGTACGGAAAGCTGCAGTTGATGCTCGCAGCGCCTGGCTTCGAAATGTCGATGATGCTCCTGATGAGGAGGACTGAGGGATTTTGATGTTCGTTCTGATGGCTGTCGTCAGCACGACACTGCTGTTTTATATGATTTGTGTGGTATTCGTTGGTAGATTCATCTCGCAAAAATATAGACCGTTGGATTCTCCACAATCAAGCATTCTACGAGTTACATCGGCTCGGTCAAAAGGGATATAGACCTCGATCAGAAGGAGGACGCTGAACTTGTTCTAAAGGGAATTGTATCATGTTCTGTTCTAGAAGAAAGAATTTCGCTAAGCGCCTATCTGCAGCTCGTTTCCATGTCCTTCATCTTTCAAACGTTGTTTCGTCTTCTGCTTACAGTCAGTTGTCTGTTCTCTAGGTCTCTTGCCAATAGACTTCGTTATTCCCAGCGACCTATTCTTTCAACCATTGTTATCTTGTAGAATGACCCAGAATAACGATGATGGGCATCAGGGAGGTACCAGCACCAGCAGTTACCAATAGTCCATCTCGAGTTGCTCCTTGTCTTTCACAGAAGACCCACCGGATGACTTCTTAGTCATTGTAGTGACCATGACGCTTCCAAATTCCTTAATGCTTTCGAAATCATCGAATTCCAAGCTTCTTGGCTCAAGTCGAACCGTCTGATCTAGAGTGCCAGCCGAGCCGGCGATCGACGGCGCCTGTATTGAATCATTGTTCGGACCGCGGTTCCAGAATCCGACACCATCCATTTTCTCGACAACCATTTTTGTCAACCGCAGAAGATCTCCGAGGCCAGCAATGCCAATGGCCTTGGCGACAGGGCTGAGCGTCGTACCTCGACCATAAGATTCACCCGCATTCCCATGAAGAAGGGTTGCATCTCTTCCCAGCAGGTCAGAGCACCGCCATTCGTCAGTTCGTTCTCCAATTTCAAGGTTCTCATTCGTTCTCAGAATGGCTTCGATAGCCGAGCTTACAAGAGACGCTTCATACCATTGGCGGCCGTTCTCTGTCATTTCAGGCAGCGAAGCACAGCAGGCTGTCACTGCCCGAACGTCGGACGAACTGGATCCAATACATAGATCTTGCACTTCCATGACTTGAAGAAAGATATCTTGATTCTCCATAGCCTCTGCTTCGTTTTCCGCGGATGACTGGCTCCTGTCAGTGGAATCGCTATTCAAGTTAGTCTCCGCTGTCGTAGCACTATTGCTCCTGATATGACTGGCCCGCTTGGCGGTAATGATACTACTCGGAGGACGCATACAG